AAAATACAATTCACACAATCAATCAATCAATCATTCATTTACTCTTTTTGAGTGTCAGTGATAACTTCCATCATGCTGGGCACAGTCGAGGCGGGGTAGGCCTGTGACAAACTGGGCATGTGACAAACTGGCATCCCCTGTACACTGTACAGAATGACGACTTGGTTGACAGCAGTGACCTAAAAATCTTATCTTTTTAGGTCAGTGGTTGACAATGTTATTCTCTTTATCGAAATGCCTACAGATCCCATGAATGTACGTGAACGATGGATTCCAGAGACTACAATAACAAGAAATTGTATAGTTTTGCGAACAATTTAATCAGTTGCAACCAAAGACGTTCGTGATTTACACCTTTTCCCGATCAAATATCAATTAATGCAGCATTGAAAGCTCAAATATCAAAATTGTCAAATTTATTCAACCCAGAGAGTTCAAATTCAACACAATGAAAAACGTAGGCAAATGTCAGCGCTCATGTAATCACAGGAGAGCTCAAATGTTAACGTTAGGGATATCAAATTTGTCATTGTCAGTTCAAATGCAGTATAGGAAAGTTCAAATTCAACAATACGAAATACTACGAAGCTATGATGTAACCAGAGACGTAGAAGGGTTAACCACATAGATTTACATAATATGTTTAACCATCGTCTCTGAGTCAGGGGAAGCTACACCGGCCTGTCTCTTAGCAACGTTCGTTGTTTACTGTTCACTGTTTACGTCTCTCGCATTCAATACTCATCGTCTGCTATCTAGATCTAGATCAGGATCAAAGAGGTCATAGTACATGTACTAGAGAACGCAGCTGTGATGTCACCTACGTAAACTCTCAATGGCTGCGTGGGCCCACTCAGCTCGCTTTGTCGCCTTTTTAAATAGAGGATTAGAAACGGTATTAGAAACTGCGTTGTCACACTGCGTGTCCTTCGCAACGCCTAGGTCTTCATAGAGTTTGAAGCCCCGTCCAGTCTTACTTTAAGTTTTCTTTTTGTTTGCTGTTGTTGTTTAATCATTTACCATACATGCATACACAATACCGCACCTTAGGACCGATTGTGGGAAACTTAAATGCATTTAACTGTGGGCTACAAATGAACAGAGAGATATAATATGAGGTGTTGTTTGTTTTTCCCCTGTAGGGTGGGGAAGGTGCGGAGGAAGACAAAGTGAGTAATTGAGTTTGTTAAGAAAAAAGACGATTTCGAAATGGGTTGCTTTTATGTCATGTTGTCTACACGTCTCTTCTTCTACTGATGCAAAGTCTAAATCTTCATAGAGTATAAAGGGGGTTAAGACAGGGTTAATTGGTCGCTTTTAAGCACAAGGGGGCTATCCCGGAAAATGCTGTTTTGAGAAAATCGAAGATAAAGCTTTTGGACCCATGTTCAGTTTATTTAAAAGACAAGGAGAGTTTTCTCTATAACCAAACAAATATACAGTGTGCTCTCATGGCCCAGAGGTTAAGGTGTTGGCCTCTCATTCAAAGGTCCCGTGTTTGAATCCGGGTAACGACCGAAACTTTTTCTTCTCTGAAATTGTCTCCTTTCACCTTCTTTCCTGCTCTCTAGCAATGTTATGTCGTCTGCTTTCGTCTCCTCTTTCTGCCCCCACCCCCTCCCCTCCTTTGCCACCTCCCCTGGGCTCCTGACTCTTTCTGCAGTCATTCTACTGCTACTCTTTGGCTCCTTCTTACTGCTGTCTTTCAGCCACACCCCTGATCTTCTGGTAGGAGAGACCTACACCTAGCCTTCTCGGACAAGGGCGAAAAATCTCGGAGGGCCCGTGTGCAAGTTGCGCACGTTAAAGATCCCTTGCTGGTCTAAAATTGATAAGAGTAGGTTTCGGCCGCCACCCGGGCAAAGTTCAAAATTTCCTTCCAACTGAAAATGTTTGGTGCGTGCCGCGCTAGAAGCTTCAGCTGCAACTCTAGCTCACCTTCAAGGCTGACTGGATGGAAAAGAACCACTGTCGATGTTGTTGAGTTGAGAGAATATAAGGTAGCCAACCAGGCGTAGCTACCCGCCAAAACGACAGGCGTTATATTCTGTCTCATTTGCGGAATCGATGTGAAACAGCAACAGCAGGGGTTCATGGTAGATGGGGTGTTCTGTAGCCAAACACCATTGCCAATCAAAGCCAATTTTAGAAAATACTGTGGACTTTTAAAATAAACCGGCTATTTATCTAAGTGTTGCAATAAAAAAATGTGCGCACAGGTTCCATACAATGCGAGAGAGAGAGAGAGAGAGAGAGAGAGAGAGAGAGAGA